GTTGAAGGCGATCCAACTATTCATCTACTGTTGCTTATGTTGCATAAGGCACAGGTCTCTTTGGGCGGAAAGCAGGCTTAGCCCCAGGTTTCAAACGAAATGTTGCTTTCATGGCAGTACACCGACCTAATTCAGGTTCAAAAATGGTTGAAGACTGCGTCATTAGATTCCTCGTATATGCTTCGGGGTCATGTGGTTGTGATTTCTGGTGGCATGTGGTATTTAACGGAACATCAGCCAATTTTAGATGATCGAACCAATCTAAACCAATTGAATTTAGATCATCGAGAGTTATATAACATACACCAGTAAATAACGAGTCTCGGAAGACAACTTTACATTCCAATTGCACTAACAGACAAAGGTAATTACCACATGCTATACGAGGCTTCTGTGTTGTGTGCTACAAGCTTGGGCTGCCCAGTTCGGTCCCATTTTCGCGTCAGAGGATGGTGACATCAGATGTGGTATCTATTTGCAATCTACGCAAATGCCTGTTAACATTAAGACTAATGAATTTTCTCTCACCTGGTGATGAGCTTTGATAAGAAGATATTAGGCTCAATGAATTGGTACCGGATCCAGCAACAGACTTATTGGCACTTCTGGATCGGTATGGTTTTCTGTTTAGGCCAAAACCATCTCTATGACCGATGACCTACACTTCCTGCATTGACGTTGCCTAAATGAGCAGTTTGGTACAAAGCGCCATGCACCACAGTGCCAGCAAGGAGTAGGAAGATTAGTTTTCGACTTTTGGAGTGGGATGAACTGGATGTAGCATGGACACCTTTAGTATTGGTAGGTAACTATTGGTGAACAAAGTGAACTTCGGAACCACTCCGGCCCCCAGATTGCACCAAAGTGGTGTCATGCTGCATGTTGGTGATGCGTTGGTACTCATCAGTAATCGCGTCGAGTGTCAGTGTTGGGTGTCGTCCAAGGCGGTTAAGCAACCGAGTTTTGATGTCGGAGAATTTGGGTGATGGAAGACTGCATATGAAAATGAAGGATTTGAATTGGTCATCGGTGAGAGATTTGAGTTTGAACCGTTCTCAGAATGCCAGCATGGGTCATGAAGTTATGGGACTAATTCATGACCAGTTTTAAGCAGCGGTAAAGAGTGTTGAAAATAGAATGCTGATCACCAAAACGTTTGCTGATGGACTGAACGGTAGCATCGAATGAACGGTCGCATGGGTTGTGCGGAAGGATTTAGTTGCAATACGTGTCCAGTCCTGACGGACCAAGTTTTCTAAGGAGAAGACGCACCTTCAAGGAATCATCTCTGTCAGCAAAATCAACACTGAAAAGGCCTTCATAACGCCTGAACCAAGTATTAAATGGAATATTGGGGTCAGAATCATAAAGAAATTCTGAAATACCACTGATCATACCATCAACTGACTGAGGAATTGTCGATGTAGATGAGACTTGAGAAGAGCCGTGCGTCTGAGTAAGTATCTCCATCAATTTCAGCTGTTGTGCAAACAATTTATCTAATTTAGCTGCATCCATTATAATTCACTAGAAAGTTTGTCAAAACGCCGTCGCCGAATTGTTACGCTCGTCTCTAAGTATGCTTCAACTATTACGAGTTCACCTTAGTCGAATAACGAGAACAAAACAATGAACCAGCGTCAAGCTAGGCTGCTGTGATCCCTTGACCAAGTCGAATCAGCAAGACGTCTTGCTATAGTATGGAAATTGTATTCTACAAACACCCAGCAAGCACACAATGAATTCAAGTTCTCGAATTGCGTTTATTTATACTCTATAGAGACGTCCTTGGGACAGTCACAAAATAGCACACTAAAATGACACAGTAACCAAACACAGTCAAGGATTTTCCTGGTGGGCAATGTTATCTCAAGGTAAACTGATCGGTCCATGAAATCAAACCAAAATGAAGATATTTATGAAGTGAGTTCTGTGGATCTGACATCCACAACAAAGACGAGAACTCAATATATTGCAATTATTTTTGGTTGATTTCCAGTTAAGTTACTTCAAATTTCCAACCACAAAATATAGATAATTTCATCTAATCAAATCAGAAAATTAAAATCACTGAAAGGAGTTTAGTTGCGAAAATCGATATAGCCAGACAATGTTTTCCGATCTGATCAACCCTAATCGTATTTTTAAGTTTTTATATAAAGGACATTAAGGTACCCCATTTATAATGGCTAAATACGTTTAACGCATATGTCAATGAAGACTCACGGTACATATTAAAATGCATTAAAGAACTAAATTTTTACTGTGATCAAGATTTCAAGGCTATTAATAACTCACTAAAATCACTCAGTCTATCAGGTTTGAAATGATTGACGATCGAACGAATCTGAGGTTCTGAAGCACTACTTAACCTGTCATGTTGAAGTAGTCAATACAGTAGTAAGTCAAGATAAAATTCATACTGACCAGTAAAATTAAAGTAAGTTATGGGAATATAAGAATATAACCCACAGATGAAGGAGTACAGCAAAGAAGAAGGAAGAGTTGTCGCGCGTCAAGTGGATAGAAGAGAAGTTGAAGTAAGAAGCTGGATTTATGTACGTTGACTAAAAGTTCTCACTGTCTAACTGTTTATTATTATTATTATTATTGTTATTATTAATAGTGAATGACAACCTCTAAGTTATAATGTAAGCGCCTGAGTGAGCATGTTTCGGATGTCTCGATAGAATAGCGACCTCAGCATAGTTTTGAAAACATGAACCCCAGAAGTAGCAAGCGTATAAGTGCGACCTCAGTGTTACTGATTAGTCGTCTCATCAATCTAAAGATCCGAATGCAAACAAGATGTTCTGTCCCACAAACATGGGTGGTTTGAAGTCATCGCCCACACCATCAACGTTTGCTGGTCAGTGACTCCACCCTCCCTCCTTTTGTGTTGTTAGGCTCATGTTAAATAATTAAAAGAAACTATTGAGTTCTACTTGGTGCTCTATGTCTCATATCCTGTTGAGAAACACTATTTCTGCAAGTTCCTTTCACAAACCTGTCTGGCTGTTAAAACTTATGAAATATTGGTTAGGCATCAATGCTATACAGTTTACAGTTATGGAGAAATAGTAAGGATTTTCAAACAAGACATAAGCATTTAGAATGTAGTGGGGGAGATGTACTTAACTGGCTAAGCAGGAGATATAAAGGGTATCACAGTTAAAAGTGGAGCATTAAATAACACTAAGGGATCAAGGTAAGTCAATAGCGTGTAAGTGAGAACAGTATAATTGATAATAGGCAATGTGAAACTCACACAGTTGTAAGTGCTGATAAGGTTGCGCCCAGGAGAGTAGAGTGCGTTCCAACCAACCAGTTTACAGTTGAACATTGTCGATCGACCCAGTGAGTAGAGTAACCTGTCTATTTCAAATAAAAGCTAAAGAGATTTATATTCAACTAGAAAAATTTAATGCTACTTGGGAGGATAAAAATAACTAAATAAGACGCAGCACTGAGTTCATTGTGTTTAAAGTGTATGCAGAGCTAATAATATGAAAGCAGGGTGTAAGTGAGTTAACGAGTGCGGAAGATTCAGTGCAACTGAGAGCATCATTAAGAAGTTGAACAAACTCATGTAACCCACTTGCCATGCGTATTTTTGAGGGAAGCCAATTCCATATAAGTGCATACTTAGAGAGGAAGAAGTTTTCTCGAGTTTTGGATCTATACTTCTCAAGTTTGACCGTAGATACTTTATCTCGAAGGTTATATGTACATGGGCCATGGACTAGGACTAAACTACAGGAGGAATATGTGAGCTTGTGCAGGAGTTTAAAGTAAAGGATCAGATTGAACCTGAGCCTTCTTTTCCATAATGGATCGAGCCTGAGTTCAATATATCGGGTTGGATAGTCAATGGGTGAGCTATGATTTAGCACTTTCCAAGTAAAGTTCCTTTGTATTCCTTCAAGCTTCAACATATCAGACAGACGTAGGTTAGAAAATAAGAAAGAGCAGTATTCAGCAATAGGTCTTACGCATGTTTTGTAGAGAATCATTCTGGATTCTCTATGAAGGAAGTTACGAAAGATGAAACCAAGCATTCTTCTCATTCGGGAAACTTTATTGGAGATATGTTCGGAGAAGTTAAGGTTGTGCGAATAATCCACTCCAAGATCAGTTACGGATGTGAGTTTGGGCAATACATTCCTGTTGAGAATGAGATCTAATTTGGGAGACGTGTCTCCGAAACACATCCAGCCACACTTCTCAGTATTAAGTTCAAGGTTTCATTGCTTACACCAGACATCTACAGTATTGAGTTCGTGCTGGATTGTGCGCAACAAGTTTCCTAAGTCAGATTTGCTAGTTTGATAAATCTCTTTTACGTCATCCGCATAGAGGTAGGTTTCACCAGTGTTGAAACAACTGCATATGCTGTTGATGTAGATTATGAAAAGTAGTGGACCCAAAACACTGCCCTGCACAACACCACTGATAATTAGTCGAGGTATAGATGTATGTAGGTTGATTTTGGTAATCTGATATCTATCTGTGAGGAACGACCTAATCCATTGCATCACGCGGCCACTAATAGCGACGGAGTGCAGCCTGCCGATAAAAAGATTGTGAGGCACTCCAGGCTCTATATTTCAAACCCTGTTGAAGAACACTTTTTCTGCAGGTTCCTCTTTACAAACTAGAGAGATTAATTGTGATCAGGTGGTTACTTTTGTACAGGTGGGATTACAAATTCAGAGATTATTCTATATGTGGCATACAGAATGCTTTCCGTTACTGATGTCGTCTTGAAACATTATTCAAATCCAGCTAGTGGCATTCAGACGAGATGAGCTGGCACTCACTATACACCTATAGTGTAAGGCAGTGCGAAACAGGCACCGATATTCGTTGAAAATTGACAAGCTGTCTTTTGAAAGCAGCATTCAGACAAACAGGCAAGTGGACAAACCACCGAGAACAAAGTACTAGGTTTGATATCTAACATTTTATTCGATTATCACTGGACAAATATTCAAAAGTGTAGAGATTGTCCTTGAACACCTCATGCCTTCACTGATTTTCTCTTGTCTAAAAAACAAATGAAACAAACATAAATTTGGTGAGATAGTCAGTGAATAAACACTGACACATACACACAGGTAGACAGTGAATCGTGCGATCATACATGACATGAGCTGGATGATTTGAGTGTGGAGAGTGATGCATGACAGTTAGCGGACTTACCTTGTTGTGGAGGTTGGGATTTTTTGGCAGGTGTTGGAGCATTAGGACCTGGAATGAAGTGAAACGACAGCTGTTTGTTAATCAGAATCTCAGTAGATTACAACGATCAGTAGTGGGTGAGTGGGTGAGTGGTTGATAAGGTGAAACGGAACAGATGCGTGTTGGCATTCCATGAGAGAGTATGAAAATGGACAGTGTTGTGAGGTTTAGTGAATGGATGAGTTACTGATTGAGCATATTGTCTGACTGTGAGAGTGAGTGCGTAAGTGAGTGAGTGAGTGAGTGAGTGAGTGAGTGAGTGAGTGAGTGAGTGAGTGAGTGAGTGAGAGTGTATGAGTACGTGTTTGTGGAGGAACGATCGGTGTGTTGTACTGCTGGAGACAATCGAAATAAACCAACAGAAAGAATAGATGTAGTTGGTGTAATGACTTACTGCGTCCACGTGCTGGTGATCTGGATGGGTTTATTGGATTCGGCTTTTTTCCCGATGGTTTGGTTTGTGCGGTTTGCTTGACGGTGGTAGCCGTATCTGTGGGATAGAATGAAAGTACCTCTGTATTGTCCACGGTGTTAACTCAGACACACGCGATTCTAGTGATACGCACTTGACAAGCATGCTGAGAGAAAGTTCAATGGGCACCGACTGCATGATTGTTTGAAGGGAATTTCAGTATTGACTGCAGATACATCACAAGAAGTGGAAGAGAGTGAGAGATATGTGAGTGGATGTGAATGGATGAGTGTTCAGTTGACAGACGACTCTGTTGTCGAAAAGCTATGAGCGATGTTGCTGGGTACTGATTTTGATGAAAATGATGATAATGATGGTGGTGACGATATTTATAGTGATGATGATGATGCTGCTGCTACTCTTGATGGTAATTATGGCGATAATGACGAGTATAGTAAACAAGAGTGATGAGGAGGACTAAGGAGATAGTCTTTGGACAATCAACACAACAAATGAGGTGAGTGGTGTGAGTTGTGGTTGAACAGTGAGTGAATGAACTGACCTGGTTTTCCGCGTGCTGCCGCAGATTTTCGTGTGACTGTTGCAGCTGGTTGTTTATTGGTTGATCCGGCTGTGGCTGCAGACGTGGTATCTGTGTACGAAAACAGTAACGAAACAATATGTTGGTGGTTAAATTCGTGTTCATTTGTAGCAATCTCACTCAGTTCGATTGTTCATGATGCGTGTATAGATGTGCAACTGACATGACGATTGTTAACTGACTGACTGGCTAACTATGTGACCAGTGAATAATAGTAGAGGATAGTGAGTAGGGATTCTGATGTTCTCCTGTGGTGAGTAAAACGATGGTCGTACGATTGTCATCTGCGAACCACACAATGATGCTCGATGCTTCTAGCAACATGGTTTGAACTGTGTCAGTAGACTGTGATTGAATGCACAGTTGTATGGATGACTGGATGAAGTGGTGGTGGATGAGAGAATGGATGAATGAATGAATGTGTGAGTTAACAGGTGAACGAGTGAATCGATGGCGTGAAGGATGTACAAAGAGACGGACAGACGTCTGGTTGGATGGATGGATGGATGGGTGAGTGGATTGATGAAGGAATGAACGAGTGAAAGTCGACTGCGTCCGTTTGGATATGTATCAGAGACTCACCTCCGTCACAGTGCACCACATCCAGGTAGTTCGAAGCGATGGCGAAAATCAATACTGCGACCTGTGTGAGAGAGGGAGAGAGAGCGATTTAGTCGATAAGTCGAATGAATGCCTTACCAATGTTGCTTGCATTTGTACGTTCACTGTGTTCTGATGTTCGAGTGAGTTGTGGACTTCAATTTATATGCTTGTGGAGTTGTCGATTTCTCGGTCACCTGATCGAACGGAACGTTGCCTTGAGGAAATCAATACTAGCAATGTGACGTGTGGTCGATCGAAGGAAGTGTCACGTTACTTCAGCTGATTGAAGCGTTCAATGAAGTGAATTCACGTGGAAAGTGGCAGAATGTGAGGTTCGTTTGTTTGTTTGTTTGTCTGTCTTGTTTGTCTTGTTGGGGTTCTGTGTGTAGGGAGGTCGATGTCAGGTAAGGAGATTGGGATCGAGATTACTCAACAGTGTCAATTCATTGTGAATTGAAATGGTAATGATGCACTCCGTTCCGTGGTTAGAACTGTGAGTTAGTTACTTAGTTAGTTAGTTAGCTAGCAAGTTAGTTTGATGTACTCGGAATTAATTCACAGATCTTCGCATCCCATATCACATCATGAACGTGCTCGAGAAATTCAACCTTACAAAATGTACAGCGATCATCACTGCATCATGTGGAATTCGAATTCAGTCATATTTTACTGACTGTGATGCGGAATATATCAGTATTATTCTGTTTTATTCGGTGAACGTCTGCCAAACACTCGTTGGTTGAGCATAAGACTTTGAGAATTCAGGAAATCAATTTAGCAGTGGCTCTACTGTCGTGATAAATAACTTCAGAAAGCCAGCATATTTTAACAGAATGATCAAATGAAACTACACATTAGTAAAAACATGTACTTAGTGAATCAGCATGGCTCCATATATGCTGCAAAATCCACTTTCATTTATTTCACTGTTGATACAGGCAGTTTGGAGTCAATGATTTCATTCAAAAGTCAACAGTTTGAAATTTCAACGTTGTAGCTGAACCACAGAAGTTTTCAGCGTGACATGCTTCTATTGTTTCTCCTCTGAATTGTGATTGCAAACTCCCAGAGTATGTGGTGATTACAAAATAATAACATTGAGCTCTCTCGAAGTGAGATCTTTAACTTCATGAAATCGATTTCATTGATCTACATGCCTATTAAAAGTGACATATGACATATGACACTCACTTTTTCAGTACAGTGACATCTCGTATTACCAGTAACGATTTATTGAATACAAATTTTCATTTGGTTCATCGTGAAATCAAGAGGTTTGCAAGCATATAAATTCTAAAGCACAAGTCACTGAGACATCAGAAGTCAGTGAGCCTAAAAATGCAAAGAACTTTGGTGAGGCATTCGTTCGTGTGACTAACCAAACCACCTCGGTTTTTCCTTCAATTGTAGATAGTGCTGCTCATTTTCAGTGCCGCTGTCTACTATCTGGATGTGGTGAACTGTGATGAGGGTGAGTTTTACGTGAACAGACATGCTTACTTCATTCATTCAATACCTCTCTCGCACACTTGTCAAACCAGTAATTATATTTGTCACTGTAGTGTTTTGCGATCCAGTTACACATTCCATAAAGTATCATCGGGAGTAGCAAACACCACTGATTTACGAAAACTGTAAATATCAAAACATCCGTTTCTCGTCTGTTAAATCCTACTTAAACTGAATGAAGCTTGTGCTATTTGACGCGTACTAATTCTAGTGTTGTTTTTTGCTTTTAGACAAAGGTGCAGCCACGACAACTCCCAAAACTGCTGAATCCAAAAACCATGCAAAACCTGAATCCCGTGAGTTCCTTCTGAAAACGTGATTTTCTCAATAGATTTACAACATTGATTGTTAACAGTATGTTTGACTGTGTGGATCAACCTAATGCGAACCAGAATCTTAGGAAAGTATTTTCACTTCGCAAATAGAATGTCATATTTACATGGATATTTTGCACTCAGCTGCATTTGGTTTTTCAGTAGCGAATAATCGTAGTCTCTCAAAGTATTGGTGTAGTTCGCTTCCTCTACATTTACGGCATGAGTGACTGGAAACACGAATAGTTAAATACTTCTTTACATACTCGACATACTATTATTCTCGATGGGACTTATTGCCGTAAATACAGATTGTGCATGGATTACACAATTAGTAAGCGAACAATAATTTGTGCAGTTCAATATAGCAAATCAACTTTGTGATAATTCGAGCATAGAAAATGGATGAATGCTAGATTCCTCGTTATTAGGATCCATTTCCATTGTCGATTGACAATTAACTCATATCCATACTATTTTTCTTGAACAGTTTTCGAACTAATTATAGAGATAGTTTTCTAATATATACTAACAGTGAGTTCGCTGGTGCAGATCTATAATATGAAATACATTCGTTTGAGGCCCTCTCTCGACAAAATTTCATTCATCTGACTGCATTATTGTTTCGAATAGTCAGCTAACTGATTAGACATTCTAGGCGGCAGATGGATAGATCGAAAGATTACTTGAACAAAGCGTTTTAATTGATGTTTGTGGAGATTATTTAATTTGATTGGTCGTTCATTTCGGTAGAGTACATATTTAGTCTGATTTTATCACCCTTATTCGCCTTCCGCTGCCAAGCGTGATGCAGCAGCGGAAATACCAAAGCAATTATCAAGTGAACGGCCAGCTCCAAAAACCAGATCACCATGATAAAGTAATTCAACAAGAAAAGTGAATTCAACATCCCACTCAGTCACTCATTCCCACTTACATTCGTAATCATTGTAACCTGGTAAACTTCTAGTTGATCGACATGCACCTTGTCATTGTTTTCAGCTTCACATGGTAAGGGGAAACCTAGAAGAGACTGGAGGAAAGTGTATGGTAAGTCTGGAGGTGCTCATTTATCATTTCGTGATCTAAAATAAGATGACTGTTGATTAAATACTTCTATGTTCACTAGCAGTGATCAACTATGTGACTAATCATCCTCTCATGTGGTTGTGTTTCTTCACAATCTGTTCTCCGTCCAAATCTCTGTGTAATGCTGTACACTGAAGAATTACTGTTCTTTATTCACTTCGCCATGTCCAACCTCTTACACAGAGATAACTTCTCAGACTGTTGGTTGTTCAGTCAGTGTATCAGCACATAAGTTTATTGATGAGTATTTGCTCATGCACACCTGCTATTGCCAAGTAAATTCGACAGTTGATTACTCTTGCTTTCTGTTTTCCCATCCCCAGGCTTGAAGAAAGCAGAAAAAGAATAAACTGGACGCTGACAATTCGATCGTCATTCGACTTTTAACTTTGAAATTCGCATTTGGCGACAAATAAAAAACTATATTGCTGAACATTGTATTTTACACTTCAATGCTTGTGTTGTTGTCGATCTCTATCCGTCTTGTGCTTTCTACTTATGCATGTCTACACCACATTCAACGAAGATTGTACTGTCTATTAGTTACTTGTGTAGAGCTGACAGTGAATTTAGAGTCAGCTGAGATCATTTGTATTTAGTGTTGTGGATGCACAGAACAGTTGAGACCGAGTATTCAATCTAATGGAATTATCATTGTACATTTCATGCAACTGAACCCTCACAATAACACACAATAGAATGTATGAGGCTGAAATTACTGTGACCAGATGTTTACTGGAAGCACCTGATAGAGTATTTTGGACCTGTGGAACTTCACAAATGTGAAGTTTAATGTGAATTATATTGGATAAGGCTACAGAATAAACCTGATTTATTCGCGGGTCGGTAATATGTCTTCATGTAGTTGTCTTTAGCTGCATACACCAAATAACAGGAAACCTTGTCGACTCATGATGATTTTACACTCTGCCGTTCACCGAAATCACAGCCGTAACGATGAGCATGCTTGTTATTATTAGTAGATGTTTTTAGTCATGTCTGATTATAATCACTTGAGGTAATTGAATTCCGTATGCTAATTAGCTATGGAATTAACGTACAAGGGAATCATCAACTAGAACAGATACTTCAACTACTACGGCTTATATGGAAATCGAAATTCATGATCTGCAAGAGCCTAACGCACCAACAGGGGATCTCGCAATATTGCCTGAAGTATTCACGTTTGCTTCATCCTTACCGTTTACAGGCAAGGCTACTTGTGTGGACTTCAACATGCCTGAAAACTCCTACTTCCCAATTAAAGCACCTGAACGATTTGAATGATTTATTGAATACTTAAAGCATGGAGAGTGGACTCAATACGTTGACGGCCCAATCAACCATCACAATATATTGGATTGAGTTTTCACAAGCTACCTCATTCCTAATACTGTATAAGTTGGAAAAATGTTCCAAGGTGGAGATCGTAATATCTCCATATTCAGTCTTGATATGAAAGCCACAACTATAAAAGGCGAATCCACGGCACTTCGCAGGGACTTTAGTAGGATTGATTGGGAAAATTACCGAAATTGCCTCAGAACCATCGACTGTACTAACGTCTTTACCGTAAACTGTACTGACGAAGTAACAAATGCATTTTATCATAACACCAGCAATATCTTCAATAAATTCGCACCCTTAGGATCTTGGAGACCGAGAATTTATAAGGACTTATATATGCCAGAACATATATGAAAACGTCTTCGAAGACACGCCTTCAGACTTCATAACACTAATGAGTTCTCCTCATTAGTTGCGATGACAAAAATATTTGTCGAGGCAGAGGTAATATCTACGAAAAAGGGAATCGTACAGGAAAAACGTGCTGTCGAGACGAACAATGAATCTCAACGAAAAGATCATTCAAATTCACCTCATCGCTTGTTGTTGTATACATACATGAATTTACCTTGCATTGATTCCCAACCAGCAGTGGTTAGTCGCAAGGCCGACGACATAACTGACGCCAATTATTGTATTGAAAATTCCAGAATCTGAAACATTTACAATTATATGTGAAAAATAATAGCCATCTAGGAAACGCGAGTGTGTCTTATGAAATATTTATCTAACTGAAAAACTTTTACAGAAAATACGTTAGCGATCTTAACATTTTGATATTTCCTGTAAATTGGCTTGCTTCTCGTAGCAGGTTATTTGAGAGTAAATTATCAATGATTTACATAATATTATTATAGCTCAGTTTAGTCATCGC